CTCACTCTGACCCAGGCTAGAGTGTAGTGGCATCATCATAGCTCACTGCAACTTCAAAATCTCCTGGGCTCAAATAATATACTCTTTTATTTTATTTTTTTCTCTTAGACATGGGTCTTGCTATGTTGTTCTGGCTGGTCTCAAACTTCTGGCCTCAAGCAATCCTCCCACCTTGGCCTCCCAAAGTGCTAGGATTATAGGCATGAGCCACCACACCTGGCCGTGACTCTTCTACTCTTGTCATTCATCCTTTGTCACCAGCTTCTCTGAGCGATTAAAAATTGTAGAGGAGATGTTGAAAAATGTTATCAAGTTCATAAGAAATATTAGTTGTTGCATCTCATCAAAATTTCAAATTAAAGACAGACCCACATATTTTATAAATCTGGGTATGGTCTAACAATTTAGCACATGGCTTGGTTGACAAAGCAGTGGATTAAGATTAATCATCCCTTGGGCTCCCTATATACATGTGGGCCCAGCTGTGTTATTGGAAATAACAGGCCCAGTGCCCCTTCCCCATTCACCAAGAAAGAGTAGGCCCTTGGGTACTAATCCTACCTCTACTCCAGCCTGCTTCTGAAGGCAGGGTTCTACAGGTACCCCAAAAATGATCGTATTCTGTAACTTTTAAGACTCTAATTCTGGCATCAAAAAATGAACTAGCAGTCAGCCTTCCAGATTCATGGGATTAGTATTCTTTTCATGATTCCCAATTTTCTTCCAGCTCTTCTTCCCACCGGCAGGTGCGACAGAAGAGCATTTATTTCTGAGCCGTCTGGTCTGCTCTGAGTGATAGTCACTAACACAGGCCCATCTATACGTCACAGTCTCTCTGCGGACCTGGGTTACAGTTGTCAAGTGACAGGAGGTCGTGCAGAATTGCCAGTGGAATGCAGGAGCCCCTTGATGGCAGACCTTTGTTCTTTTGCCTCTCTCTGTTTTCTCAGACAACGTCTCAGGAGGGGGTCGTGAGTGATTCTCCCAGTGCGGCCATCTGTATTATTTATATTGTGCTGGAGTGAGCCTCTTTCAAGTACTGCAGAGAGGAGCTCGCTGCTGGGGCTCCAGTTGGGTTTCGTAATCCCAGTGACAGTCGGGGGCGGGTGGCAGGGGCAGAGGATGTGGGAGGTAGAAGATGAAACGTTAACTGTGAATTTCGTGACTGCAGATATTTGGGGCTGTTGCAGGGTTTTTTTCCCCTATGTATTTTTGTGATATATATTTTTATTATATAAAAATATCAAAATAATGAGTAACTTAGTAATATAAGGTTATTCTAAAACTATGTTTGCACAACTATATTATGTTGTTGAAAAAAAGAGAATGCTTGTTGGTGTATTTGCATTGTTAAGTGACATGTATTCTCTTTTTAATCTAGAGAAAAATAAGGAAAAGCTTTATTAATACCCTGTAGAATTACTGAGACTGTTAATCAGTTATTACATTAATGATGAAGGCTTTCTTTTAGAAGTTTGTTACATCATTCAGATTGGGAAGAGATCATATAAATTATCTAGATAAACCCATGTAGTTAAGCAAACTAACTGAGACCTACCTTAGCGACATTAAGTGACTTTGGGTGTTGTGGATAATAGTGACAGGGTCCATCTGGCAGTCTGGGCTCCTGGACTCTAGTCCAGTGCACATTTTTGAAGAGGGTAAACATGGAAGGAGAAAGAATCTGTGTCTAAAACTTGATAGACATTCAGTGTCTATTTATGTTGTTAGGGTAAGTATATTTATTGTATATTGTGGTGTACTAGAGAGATAAGGGACTTTAGATTCAGGCCAGAACTGAAGTTTGCTACTTCCCAAATGTGACTACAGGCAAATAACTTAAACTCTGGTTGCTTATTTTCAAAATATAAATGATAAGAGCCACTTTTGAGGAACATTATGAAGATTTGTAATTATGTTTGTAAAGGGCCAAACAGGATACTGGTATATATCAGATAATACATGTAGCCACTGTCAAAATTTATTATTTATACTAATTAAAATCTGAAAAAGTATTTGCTTTATCAGTAGACACTCAGATAAATCATGTTAAACCAAGGTCAAAAGAATAAGCACTTTTATCTTACTAGCTATAAAACAGAAGAACTACTTTTTTATTTCTTGAACAAGCCTTACCCTCACTAGTGAATTTGCATCCTGTTTCATTTTTCAAACATGTATTTTGGGAAAAGCTAAAACCTCTTTAATTATGAATTCCGTGTTCAAAGTTAAATTAGTATAACAGCTAGGACTCGAATTCATACATTTATAATTTATGAGAGACAGCAGGGACAGGTTGAAAGGGAATGAATTTGGTGTCGGGAGGAGCTGAGTTTAAATATGAGTGAGATCCGCCGATTACTGGACGCATGATCTTGAGCAAATCTCTTCATTTCTCAACCTTTATTCCTCTGTCTGTAATGTAAGGACACTCACACCTGCTTCTCTGATCTGTCGTGAGGATTATTATATAAAGCCTCTCCCTGTCCTACAGGGCACTGTTAATTGCAATACTTATTTTCCTTCCTCCTGACACACCACCAACCTAATGTTAATAAAAAGTGGGGGATCTTAGAGGACAAATCACGCTTCGAAAAGACAACTTAGAGCCTTTAAAGGATTCCTTTGAAGGTAGAAGGGTGCATTTCTGTCGTGAACATGCAGTATTCAAAAATAGTAAAGACCTTTTACATGGAGCTCGTGCTCTGTCAGCACTTAGCAAAGATGGAAAATACTTCACTTTTCCATCCTCAAGATCAGAGTATTGTATTGGTATGGTAATTTGCCATGATTGTTTTTCATGTTGCATGCTTTTAATGCCATGTAAATGTAGCCTTAGGCCAAATGATGTCCGGCATGAATGATAGATTATTATAGAAGGCAATGGGTTTACAGAAATATCTACAGGATTTAGTATTCTGTGATAAGAAGAGGTGACTCCCCCTTCTCATTGTTGACGAGGCTATCCACATTTCTTGTCCCCAAAGTGACTGTGATTCTGTGTTCCCTGGAAGCATGTTGGTGAGCCAGAAATATGATTCAGAGCAGTGGCCTTACCATTCATAAGTTGAGTTTAGTTAAATGTAGGCTGCTGAAAATATCATATTGTTAGGCTGCAATATGATACGAGTAGTATCTGTATCACAGACAACTCTATATCCTCCTCAGATTCTGCACTGATAAAGCCCACCTAGAAGATTCTATTAGTTCTGGGCCACATTTTACAGAGGCATTGCCAATCTGGCCTACATCCAGAGTAAGGATGAAGCAGGAAGAGTAAAAGTATCAAGAAGCTCTCTCGTACGAAGGAGGGTCGAAGGGATTAGGAATAACTTGCTTGAAAATGATTGTAGGGGAAATACCAAGATATGTCCCCATCTTCTGGGCATCTACTCTGAGCAGAGTGGTTTGTGAGACACAAAGAAATATACAACCTATTGTATGGCCTTTGTCCTTAAAGACACTGGGAGAAGTTAGGCATATACACATGTACCTAAAATAACTATGACCAAAATGGAATATTAAATGCACTATGGTGGTATACATTAAGGGCTTTTGGAATTCAGAGGAAGGAGGGATTATATCCACCAGAAGAAATCAGAAAAGGTTCCATGAGGGGACAGTGTTTGGACTAGCACCAAACCTTGGGAAGGATTTGGATATTCAGGGATTTCTGAGAAAATATTCCAGGTGTAAGAGCAAATGCAGTGTGAAAGCATTGTAATGTTCACGTTTCATTGAGTAAGAAGTTCTGCATTAAATGTAAATGTTCAAGCTCCATGAACATTAAAAAACTTCAATAAATAGAATTTTAAGGGCTATCTTTGTTCTATTAGCTGTAATCACATGCTATAACATGTTCTGTTATAAAAAGCCTAAAAATAAAAAAAGTAATGAAATGATGAATTTTTGGATGTTTTCAACCCCTAACCAAGAAAAAGCTCAGTTGGCATGCAGGATCTGTTCATTCCTTTCACTACTATATGCTAATCATGCCATGATAAGAAGATGAAAGTGAACTCTTGCCAAAGCCCAGGAAGGTATGATAGAGCATTTTAATATTTAAAAGGTTGGCATTTAGAAACAGAAGTAAGTGTGCTTGTTCTGCAATTTTTCCAGAAAGCGAAACGAAAATCAGAGAGTAGTAAAGCAGGTTTAAACTCACCCTGAGAATTTCTTCCAGCTTAAAACTGTCTGGCCTAGAATAGGCAGCCCCTCAGGACCGGTGGCTTTGCCTCTGTTGAAAGTACTTGCAGAGACGCGCAAGCCCAAGTCAGCAGGATTGCTGTGGAATGAATTTCTGAATTTGGTTAGAAGTCAGACTAGCTACGTTCTTAGGATCTCTCCAACCGTGACATTCTGTGTGAGTGTATAGCTAACATAAAGACGCCAAGCAAAGCAGGCGGAAGCATACACATTTGTTTTTCTAAGTCATAGGTGGTGTATTTTTTCATAAGTCAAGGATAAAGTAAGATAGTGATATTTTATGTGGGATTCAGTCCAAACATTTTATTTTATGAAGTCAAGAAAGCAATCTAATTTAAACTATTTTGTACAATTGTTACGAGTTCTACCGGAAGAAAAGGTGTGCTTTTTAAAAAATAAAAGACAAATTCCATTCAAATATTGGAAGCTATTACTAAATTATGTCAAACTACCTTAGCTAGGCCACTTTTACCAGTGGGATCAGATATTAAATGAGACTAGAATGCTAGAGGAGATTGATCCTATTCCTGACAGACATCTGACTATTTTATATAAATATTTGCCAAATTGTATTGCCATATCATGTTTAGTATTCATATATTGTACAGTTACGTATTACCCTGAATGATAAGTTTAAATCCATAAGTAGTGTGAGCATTCAGGGCTGATTAAGCTATTGGCCTGGATGTTTAGAAACTTAAGTCAAATAGTTGAGTTTCCTGATCAGCTAAGGCCGTGTGTGGAAGCAGAGCTGTGTGCTGTGGATCTAACGGCCTTCTCTCTGTTGTTTTCAGCTGCAGTATTGAAGTATGAGAACAACGTCATGAATATCAGGCAGTTCAACTGCTCCCCTCATCCATACTGGCTTCCAAACTTCATGGATGTTTTCACTTGGTCCCTGCCATTTGTTGGGGAAAAAGGTGTGTTGTGGAGCCGTGAGATGCTCTGAATAAAGTGGTGTGGGAAGGAGGGAGAGGAGATGTGTTCTATTTTACCGTGAAACCACAGAAACACTTTGGCCCCACCAATAAAACTCACACGTTGCACCATGAGAGAGGTGATTTGAAAGCGTATCACCGTGTATCCTATAAACACGGGTACAATGAGCGAATTACGGAAAAAACAGAGGAAATGAAGAATATGTGGGAGAATTTACACAGTCTCATTAGAATAATACAACTTTTAAAATTAACATAAATACAGTTTTACCTTGTTCCAAGCAATAATGTCTACCCTTTTCACTTACCTCTTTGTCCTACAATTCCAAAGTACTATTTTATTTTACTAATTACCTGTCAAATTTAAAGGTTAAGATAACCATGCTTTCCTTACATTCCTGATGTTAATAGTAAGCATCATATTAAACTCTAGTGCTTAATGGCTACACTATTTTGAAGGACAACATGTACAACAACAGAAAAATGGTTTATCAAAAATGTAATGGCCATTATGATTTCGTTCTTGTATATGATGAGAGGTAAGGGTCTAGTTTCATTCTTCTGCACGTGGATGTCCAGTTTTCCCAGCATTGGTGTATCATAATATACAGAACAGTGAGGCGAGTTTAAACAGTTGGCTATTAACTTGCCCTGATTTTCCAGAATTAGACTTTTCTTTCTTTCCTCCCTCTCTTCCTTTCTCCCCTTTTCCCTCCTCCCCTCCCCTTCTTTCCCTCCTTCCTTCCCCCTTTGTTTTACTTTCATATTTTGACCTAAACCTCAATAAAAATTTTGAGAGAAGGCCTTGCCCCAGTTTGTTTTTAGTTCGGAGGCCTAACCGTGAGAGACTGAATCAGCCCCCGCGTCTTCTCACCCATCACGTGAGGAGGTGAACGAGCATCGTGTACACATAAGAGTTTACGGATGTTTCAGGAAAATTGATGACCTTTGTTTCAGAGAAAAGCTGCAGATTTTTCAGAAACCCTGCAATATTTTTTTTCTTTAAATGCCCTGAAATGATTATGCCAGTCAAGTTATGAATTGTCAGTGAAGAAGTCTTCCCTTTTGATACCAAGATAAATCAAAAGTAAATTTTAAAGTCTCTGGTGCGTGGCCCCAGGGCACTTTGCTAGTCCCTTGCACCGATCAGACCCCAGCGCTGGGCAGCGCCACCTCTTGGCCTCTCTGGAGGCGGCAGCAGTGGGGATCCTGACGACCACCGGGCACCCTTTGAATACTCTCTAGTTGGATTCTTTCTGTTAATTACTCAAATTTTGGATGCTTATTAGAAATTAATACATTATGCTGGTATACATAATCCAGTTTTGATAAAACTTTGCATCAGTGTTGGCTTTACTGAAAGTTTTATCTCTATCATATATCTTTAATTCTAAAAAAGTATTTTTTAAAATACAACATTACTTTAAAAAGTAGAGCTTAAAGAAGCAGTGGACAAGCTACTTTTCACATACATGATAGAACCCAACCTAGTTTTAAAAAAATGTTAAACGCAAATACCATGTACCGTACATGTACCATGTACCATAAATGTAACACAGTACTGATTTCCTGTGCACCACTCTTTTATATAACCCTATTGTAACCTATGTACTTAACTAAAGTTCTGGTTAAACTGTACCTAAGCTTTGTTTTTAAAGTATTTTTTAATAATCAAATTTAATGATATTTCTATTAACACATTCATTTTAAAATTAGCATTCTCAAAACAACTTCACATACATTAGTTTATCAATCAGCAGTTTCTACTAAACACAAAATCACCTGCCTCTCGCTGTGCTGGGTTCTCAGGGGATCAAAAAAATAAATGCATCATTCTTTGTCCCTCCAGAACAGAACTTTGTAATCTGATCTAGACCGAGCAGCATAAATGTGCAAACAAATAAACATTCAAAAATAACTCTTTCTCTCTAATAGGTTTATAGTATATTCACATCCAGTTATTTGACTTGTTTATTATCTATCAGCTGATGGCTAGTAAATGTCACCATTAGATTTCATAGGCATGAGCCAATAGTGTAATAGTCTTCATAGAATCACAAAGAAGCCTATTGTCTTTTATGATCTAGATTTTATAGAAACTACTTTGTAGGAGATTTTATATACAAACTAGGTGAGAAACGTTATTGCGAGGCTTGTACATTAACGATGCCAGAGTAATAATTAATGTTGTAAGAGAAAGGCTGGACTTTTCTTACTCCCTTTCTTTGCTTTCTCCATTTAGTGACCGAGATGCTGGTGAATGTCCTCAACATCTGCTCGGACGATGAGCTAGGGTCGGAAGAAGATGGATTTGATGGTAAGAGGCTTGAGCCTGTGTGCTAGTGCTGTTTGCCAGGCTGTGACATGGCATCTCATTGCTCACCGTAAGGATAAATGTCTGAGGTTTGGATTATGTTTAAATCATAACATACTCTTGAGAGTGAAAGATATAATTTTATTTTCTATTTCCTGTAAAAAGAAAGTATAAGGAACAAAAACCATGAGAGAATTTTCTCATTACTTTGAAAACATTGTTGAAGTATTAAACTGTTTTAATAACCATCTCTCAGTAGCTCACATTACTATGTGACATTTTTTGGCTACTTGATAAAAATGTCATATTTTATTTTCTAGCAAATGTCATTTATTGGGAAACTTTTAAAAGTCTCCTTTAATGGACTTATTCCTATTAATTATTCAAATTTTGATATTTATAATAAAAGAAGGCATTTATCTAGTGATATATTGGTATTTAGGTAATCCTAATTTTTTTTTCCTGTCTGTAGTAATAGTTAATGAATAAGCTATGAGGGCTGTCCAATTATCCTTAAAGTATGCTTTTTCTACGAGGGGTATAGATTCATGAGGTTAACAATAGAAGGAAAAATTACTCTGGGATTTACAAAAGCACCCCAAAATAGAATAGAAACCTACAAAAATGTAGTTAGAGAAGGAAAGTGTTAGAGCAAACTTTATTTTCATAAACATTTAATAAGTGCAGCTGGACCACTCCATATCTGTGGGTCCCACATCTAAAACCTTGGATCAAAAATATTCAGGTAAAAAAAAATCACATCTGTACTCAACATGTACAGAGTTTTTTTCTCATCATTATTCTCTGAATAATGTAATATAGCAACTATTGACATAGCAGTTACATTGTATTAGATATTATGAGTAATCTAGAGATGATTTAAAGTATACTCAGAGGTCCTACAATGAACTGGACCTACTCTGAGTAGGGCACCCAGGATTTCAAGATTCATTAAAGACCTATTCCATGAAGAACGTGCAGTCTGGTTAGAGAGACTAATGGGTAAAACAGATAATAGCAATAAAATACGACAAATCATAAAATAAAGGCTGAATGTGGCAGGGAAAACTAGATACTGTGATGAGATTACATTCATATTTATACCTTTGAAAACTCCACCAAGGTAAAGTGAAAAGAGAATTTGGCCCTTTCTAGAACTTGGTACCTGAATGGCATTATTTATTTAATGTTTATTTGGACATCCTTTAGGTCACAGCTATAAATGCAAAATACTTAATGCTTCAGGGAAAAGTAAAAGAAACCTGTTTATACATGCATGTAAACAGTCTACATACTTGGGTAAATTTACAGCATAAAAGTTATTTCTAACATCTCATAGTTTTTCTACTTTCTCTAACTTCATTAGTCTTCATTACCTGTCTCCATATGCTGTTTTTGAGTCATGTACCATATTGCAAGGGTATTCTAATGTAGGGAAGGAGAGGGAAAAGGAGAGATGTAAAAAAAATAATAACTTCTACTGGGGTAAAATTAACTTAAGAATAGTTATAAGAATTTAAGTGAATATATTGATATATTTTGAAATATGCAGATCAGTGGGTATTTTGTGCTTTATCTAAATTCTAGATCTCTCATATGTTATAGCCATAGATTGTTAATGTTATCTTTTTCATAGATAATGTTATCTAATATTTTATCTGTTAAATGATAACATTATCTATGCTATTTTCAAAATAGCAGAGACATGTTTCCCAGATGAACACTAACAAGATATAATCTAAAAGTCAAGAAACATTTTGCAATAGTTGCTTTCACTACATTCTTTTTATTCCTCAAAAGAAAGATTAATTGGCATAAATACAATAATACTCCACTGTTAACATAGCTCCAATTTTGCTAAGTCCATTGTCGGCCAATGTTTATGATATGGGCAATAAAAATGAAACATATTATATAGAATAAAATGTGTAGACCTACATATGTTTGTAATTATATATTAATTAATCCATTGACTCAGCAAATATAATGGGTGCCTACTATGTGCTGGGTACTATTACCAAAGATGCCTGCATGTTTCAATGGTGCAGGTTATTTTTGCACAGTTGAACACTACAAAGACAAGCTTGGTGCTTCCTTCACTGCCATGAGCTCTCTTTACCCACCCTCTCCATCACATCCGTGAAAGGGTATGGTCTGTGACTAACTCTGCTTTGAAATAATTAGCTCCAATCAATGTGCTGTCTTCATCACCAATTGCTTTTAAAACCCTGCTAGTTCCAACTATAGGAGTGCGTGTCCTTCTTAAGGCCCTTGGAAGAATTTTTTTTCTTCCAAGCAGACCCCTGAAATCTACCTCTACCCCCCAAGTCCTAGATCAGTGCAGGAGGGCGACGTTGGGAGGAGGTCTGCCGCTCTGGCCAGCTGGGGCAGGTGCACCTGTGCCCCCGGCTTTTCCGCTTCCTTCCTCGGTCCGTTCCCGTCAGTTCAGCGTCATTAGGTCCATTCTCTGTCTGAACACAGTTTCCTCTGCTTCCATTTGTTCTCACTAGGTACATTTACAGTAACATTAGCGTTTTCAAATTTTTAAGCAAAATGTATACACAAGCTAATTAAAAATGTCTAGTGTATAGTAGAAGTGATCACTATTATCAATTTGGCATCGAGCAGATAGAGGTAAAGTTATTGTTTATAATTCTTAGGGACAGTAGATTGCGATTTCCTTGATTTCCTGACTCTTGGACTTAACAGGTGTTAAATTCCCTGTCTTTTTTTTCTCTTAAACTTGTTGGTTTGTTTCTCATAGTCAAAGAAAGACATGCTAGCAAGGCCACGCTTTCTGTCTGCTGTGTGTACGCGCATGCCCGGAGGGGGGAGAGGTGAGGAGAGGTGAAAAGATCCTTCTGCCTCTGCCGGGTGGGGCTTGCTGGCGTGGGGTGCAGGCCTGCTCCATGAGGAGGACCGGATTCAATGTCAGGAAAGAAGCCGGAAGGAACTAAAGAAGGGAAACCAGATTTAACAAAGGAGGGAAACCAAATCCAACAAAGAAACCAAATTCACCATATGTATCTAGAGATAGATTATGATTGGGAAGAAGCTGGTTCTTTGGGGGAAAAAAATTTAGACTATATTATTATCCTTTGTGAACAGTTTCCGCCCCACTAAATAGGGCGATAATATAAGAACCCTGGATGTTTCTCCATTAAATTTGGGAACCGTTGGGCTTAAAATGTGTAAAGAACATGCAGAATTTATAGCATTAGTGTGATATTGTCTGCCGGCTCTTAACTGGATAGGAGTTTAAGAGCGTGTTTGGTGTGATCGTTAAGGACTTCAGGACCTGAGTCTGAAATGGGTCAAAGTTAATGTTAATAGATGCTCTCCTCCAATTTCATAGCTGTGGCCTCTAAACATGATCTTTTAGCTCGTATGTTGTAAATTTTCCCTTTAAGGAAAAAAGCAGAGAAATGAAAGTTTTCATTAAAAGTACGTTTAACTTAGGATATTATATATTTTGGTGTAAGCAATCAGAAAGGAGTCCTAACACTTAATTTAACAGGACATAAAAACTATGGATTTTGAGTGAGATGTGCACCATCTGGGGGATGGTCATGATGGAGACTCAGACTTTTGGGGGGAGTGGGAGAAATGGGCATTTATTTGAAACCTTAAAATCTGTACCCCCATAATATGCAAAAAAAAAAAAAAAAAACTATGGATTTCTTCAAAGGTGCTCAAAGAATAATTTGTAAAGCTACCCAGAACTCTGATATTCTTTGGGAATATAGTTTATTGAGAGCATGGATAGAAGTTTCTTTTTTTTTTTTTTTTTGGTAACATCATTTCCAACCTCAGGATAAAGTTTCCAATTCTCCCACCCTGCCTTCCTGCAAGTAGCCTGCAGGTGTGCTGTGTGGGGCTGGCTGCTGTGTCCTGCCTGCCAGGCTCCCTGGTTCCTGGCCGCAGAGGTAAAGCAGGACTCAGAAGACATCGAAGGACTTCATTAAAACTGGCCCTTATGCTGCTGGTATGCTGTACTCATCTCTTGATGCGTCACTTGTCAAGGCCTTCTCAATGCTGTGTTCCATGTCCAATGTCAGCTGCGAAGTCAAAGGGAGTAATAGTGCCTCTACAATCCATGAGGATCTTTTTATCTGGTCAGATCGACCTCTTAGACTTTGTAGGGACTACAGCAAAGAGGGATTCTCCTCATCTCCTTCAGAATCTGTCAGCTCCCTTTTGCTATTTAATAATGATGGTGGTTATGATGACAGCAACTAGCACTTCCGTGTTACGCGCACTACTAAGTCATTCAGGTGTGTTATTTAATTTATTAATTTTATCTTTTGGCCAGCAAAAATTTATAGTTATTAACTATCATTTATTTTAAGTTTACTGAGGCAATTTACATTATCTATAATGCTCAAAACAACCTTCCGATACAGATAATATTATTACCCCTCATTTTCCATAGGAAGCAACCAAGACTTAGTAAATTCATCCAGCAAGTAAAGTAACAGAGCCTGGATTCAGATTAATGTCTGCCTGGTTCTTAGGCTCTTGAACCTTCCACAATCTGTGATCACAGTGTTTGAAATTGTTTTCATTCAAACAGCATGATGCCTTTTTTTTGTGCACAAAATAATACCAATAAGCAAATATAACATACTTTAATTTGTTCTGTTAAATATACTATAAAATAAAATAATAGATTTTGTGCTATTATTTGGCCAGGAAAGGCAATGCAGATGAAACAGTATCATTCTACTCTTTTAACCTTAACCTACCCTAAGAAGTTACAAGTGTTTTTATCTTGTCAAAATTTAGGTATATCTGAGAAGACAAAAAGTCCTCTGGCTCATCCAGGCTTCTGCTGGGTAGAAACCACATCATGATTCTCTCCTTCTGAGCTTCTGCCTTACAAATTAGGGAATTTGATAGCCTATCAAAAATCGCTGCTGTTTTAAATTGGCCTGTGGTATTCTGTGTTGAAAATAAAATAGAAACCTTATGCTATCTGGTAAAGTTTGGAAGCAGCTTAATGC